GCAGAGTTTAAGAATTCTCATTATTAGTTTGCTTCACATTTAACATTGGGTAAATAACTAATTACTCACTGATAGAAAAGTATAGAGAGTCTTAGTGCCTGAGGTTTAATCTAAAATAAAACTAATATTATTCAGATGAGATGAGTCCTTTGACAACTGAGACTATATTTTAGTCATATTTTCATCCCCATGTAATTATCACCACAGGTTTGGTATATATGTTTATGTTACCATATGCAAATGAACATTAAAATGAGATGCTTTCACATTTGAGGCCACAATATTCACAATAGAATAACTATTCACTATGAGAAATCACCTTATTTATGATAGGTGCTCTGGGAACTTTCAACAATTAATACCCTTGGAATACTTAAATGAAGAAACTCAAATCTGAGTCTGTATGTTAGATAAGAAAATATTAAATTATCCTAGGAAATACCCATAACAACAACAAACAACAGGAAATACCCACATTATTGATAAACATAGCAGATTCTTGGAAAAGATTTGCAAAGTTCATAGATATTTAATTTGTAAACAAGGAAAGAACTTTTAGTATTTACTTGCCCTGCGACCTCTTAAGTAATTAACTTGTTTTTTTACTTTGGGCCAGTTCTTAAACATTCAGCTCACTAACTCCACTCACTAAGATCGTGTCAAAACAGATTTAAAATTGATGCTCCAGTGGGTTTTACAGGCTGTAAATTTTGAGGGAGGAGATTGCCCATCAGTTTCCCCTGGAACCATTTGATTTGAACCCTGAGAGGGAAACATGCTTTAGGGTAGCAGTGCGATTCCCTATGGACTGTACCACCAGAGTTATATCTTAAATATTCACTAGCAAGAAAATATTTAAGAATACATGTATACCACATTTAAAGCTTAAAGACACTGCAAAAGATTAGTTTCTATTGACAGCTGTTTCTTTAAACCTATAAAACGTGTATTTTCCATACTAGCCATTTGCCATAAATTTTCATTAAAGGGGGGAAAATGTCTTTTCTTTCTGAAAACAAAAGTAATAATGGGAGTGGGTATAATATTTAGAAAGTAAAATTGATCTAACAAAAATTAAGTGATGAAAGGTGTACCCCATCGGAAACAACATCTTGCACATTTTATGCATTAAAAATATTTTGAAATTTTTTTCTTTTTTAAAAATTCTTTTTATTTTAAAATGGCTTCCACACAAAATTTGTATACATTGTGTTTTGTTTAGATATAGTGTGTTTCATATACTCCTCCATTCATATTATGTTTCATTCGATCATCCCCACACATTGTTGTTGTTGTTATGTGCCGTCGAGTCGTTTGCGACTCATAGCGACCCACAGCATCCCTAAACCCTGCTCTGTCCTGTGCCAACCGCACCGCCTCTGACACACCCATCCCGATTACCCCAGTCACTGAATCAATCCACCTCATAGAGGGTCTTCCCCTCCTGC